AGCTACTCCTATTTCCAACGCATAGGGTATGAGGCTTGACAGAAGCCAAAGTCTTAAGCTTTTCGCTTTGTGACACCACTTGGAAACACTTTTCACAGGGGCTGCTTTGGACGCGCCTGAAAATGAATGACCCTAATGAGGTCTTTAATTAAATTTAAATCTCATCTTATTTCTAGTGCTAAAACTGTTTCTGTTGCTAAATCGAGATAGTCGAAATCTTGTACTGTGAAATCACAGGTAGTGTTGAATAATCATCATCATCATCACACCATACCAGAAAACCCTCAAGAAAAAGCAAATAAGGTAATGTTGTTTCAGGTTCATTCGGGTTCGGGTTTATTTAAAAAACAAAATAATAAGACCAACATTTAAGTAGAAGTAAGAAATTATTCACGTTATGTGTGCAATTGCAATAGGCTAATTATACTTATAGCAAGTCTCTCCCTTAAAGCAGAAATAGCAAGTCTCTATGAGAAACGGCATCATGAACATATGGGATCAGCAGATTATAACGCAAGCAATTAATTATGGTCACCGAACTGACAAATATTGGCGAATCCAGTAGAATTCAGCCTCTGTTCTGCCTTAAACTGAAGGTTTAACAAACTTACACATATTCATATAACTACATATAAAATAGCTAATGGTATTAAACGAGCCTCGGGATTATTTGCAATGTAAAAAGAAACAGTTTTTGACTTTTTTACCTTTATGGGTCAGCAAACTATAAAATTTAGGACAAGAAGCGTATATCATTTAAGAAAATGTATGTTTAAATCGGATAAATTAATATCCACTATTCCGCCATCTCGAACAGGGCTTAATTGAGCCAGCAAACTGATTTACTATAGAATTTAGAAAATACGGAATTTAACAAGATGCCGATACAGCATTAAACCGAAATGAAAAAGAGGTAATTTGGTCAGCAGTAGTTTTTCTGTTGATGTGTTTATCGATTTTAGCCCGTTATAAATAATTAAAACATGAGAGAGCCGATGGAATCTAATTTTTATTTTTAATGTTATTGTGTTCAGCCAGATTACTGATTTCCAAACATTACAGCCCCTCGTCCAGGAGAAGAGATCTCAACGCCAAGCACCGCCCGACCAACGTTTATAGTTCAGCATCCCGCTGGTTCATTTGAAACTTCCTGGTGCAGTTCACAGTGCTTCAAATATTGTCTCACGTTTTATTCATAGGAACCACCGCGTTTGTGTCCTTTACCTAATACACGGCTAATGGTCTGATATTACTGCGAGGACGTGCGTGGGAGCAGAGATGCGGTGCAGTGAACTCTAATTTGATGTAGCAATTATCGTGGCGTGTCCTGTTCTGTGCCCATACGGTCTTGGCAAGATGTACTAAAGAAAGATAATGTGTTTAAAATTAAAAAAATATATATTCTGCTGGCTCCCAGCCGAAATACAATTTACATGAACATGAAATATGTTACATAGTAAATAAAAGTGTATGTCTCTTACAAATCACATTTACAAATAATTATTCGGACTTCAGTGTGATAATAATCTCTTTCTTACCTGTCTTCCAACCTGTTATCCTCGCTTTAAAGTACCTGGCCGGGACTGGGACAGCTGTAATGTCAGATCCAGAGTTTGATTAAGCGCACGGGGTTGCGGGCGTGTGTCTGTGAGTGTGCCAGGCGACAGAAGTGGTTTATTATAGGAGGCAGGTCGCGCTGCGCGCTACTGCGACGCGCGTCCACGTCTGGGGCTGATGTCAGTGCGCGTCTGTGTGCGGAGTGAGAGAGAAGGGGGGGCTCGCTCCGAGCTGAGGGGGGGAGAGACTCCTCGGGACAAGGAACAAAGAGACACCGATGTTGCACACGTGCGGACAAAGAGGCCGCCTAATGATGCGAAGGATGTCACAGTGCCACATGGAAACTACATGTACACAATGTACACAAGGGGGTATGAATTATCCTAGACAAATGCATTGAAAACACACAATAGACGACCGACGGAAAATAAAAATAAATTATTCATGTTTACATCGACACTAATACTTTAGAGCGGGCTAGGAGCACTTTCCTGTGTAATTAGTCTTAAGATTAATGGCGAAAACGCTCAAGGGCGTTCGCCACAGATGTGAGTCAGATAGAAAGTGCTAACTACACTTAAAAAAAAGAGCCCACCACAACTGTGAGAGCATACTAAGACATCGCTAGCAAGGACAGTTTTATTGCTGCACTTGAACACAGTCACTGTGCATGTATTGTTGAACACAACGCCTATAGCTTACAAGATGAACGCTGACTTTCCTTAGTATGGAAGAGCAGACACAATCTTTTACAAAAGGTTTTTTGTGTTGCATTATGTAGTAAAAGCCCTTGTGACTGGGACTGATAACTGCTTCAAGGGTAGGGATGGTGACTCTTCTCCACAGCAGTGAAACAAGTTCAAAAAAAATTTTTTTTAAAAATAATAATAATTTATCATGAAAAAAGAAACAGCAGGATGGGTCTGTGCATGTTTTCTGCGGTGTGCTTATAAAAGCCCCACAGAGCTTTGTACAGTACATACAGGCCTGTTCCACAAACACCTTGATTCAAATTCTCTAAGATGAAAGATACAAATTTACCTCCCTGGTCTTCCGAGACCACACGTGAGGATATGACTAAATTAAAAGAACAATAAAATGCACTTTTCCTATTCTGCACTGTCACTCAATCGCAACATTGTGACATTTTGACATGGGAAATCATAGTTAAGACACTGTGTGAGTTATCGATTTTTAAACAAGTCCGCCCTTGTCTGCAGCTGTGCTATGACAGCTAGGTTGCAGTGCAGTAACTTCTCATTGCACACTCTACAAAAGTGCACATGGATGTAACGAGAATCAATTCTCATAACTCGGCAGAAAAGGTTTTGTAAAGACATTTAGCTGCACTGATCGCGCACTAAAGTGGTCCCTGCTTTTCAAGCTTGCTTGCTAGGTGCAGAAAAAAAAAGACTGTGTCTGTCCATATTTTTGCCGAGGTTGTCGCATCACCCCCAAGTTAAAAAAATTCTAAACTACCCTAAGATTTTTATGCACTTGTATGAAGAATGCTTTCCTTGAAATCCTACCAGCGGCTGCTGACTGCCTCTCCTGCTTCTTCAGTGACGTGCATTTCAGAAACAGCACAAAACCCCCTTTGCTGGAGAGGAAGCTGATCTACAGGCATCACTAGGGAGCCAGTTTGGGCTGCTCACAAGCACAGGGTAATAAATCAACTGTTAATAACACGACACCATGCTGCGATCAGGCAGTTCTAGTGAGGTTTAATCACATTTCCCCTATTATATCCCTTACATCTAACAGGTACATTAAAAAGGCCCTTTTCTCACATAATAGCACATTTTTTTGTCCCTTTTACTTCCTTTTCAGTGTTCAGCCGAACACAGTTGCACAGAAACTCTCAACATAGGTGTAGTAGGAGAAATAGGTACTGTATGTGTAGGAGGGGAAAGATATGCACAGTAAGTCCCCAAACACAATAGACCTCAAGTCCCTTCACTGCCTTTGTGTGTGAAGGAATTGTCTTTAACTTGGAATTAACTTGCTGTAGTAGAATACCTTTCACCTCTTTACATCTAAGTCAATTCCAATTCCAAGACCACAAATAAAGCCTTCTAGTTGACATTAGGCAAAACACAAGTCCACTTTATAACTAGTATATCTGATCCTGTATTATTATTATTTTTTGCAACAGGGCTGAGACAAAGACTATATTTACTAACCAGTAGAGTGTTACAGAGGAAAGATCAGGGTCTACCGCACCACTGGGAAATAACCACCTCTTTCTCCAGAAGCCCCTTAAGCAATATTTCAAGTTGTAAAATCCAACTTTCACCTGGGCAGATCTGGAGAAAGGGCTTGGAAGAGTCTACAGCTCTAATTGCATTCCCCTCTGTGGTCACGTCAGATCATGCTGCACGAGGCGAGTGCAAGCCAGGCAGTTGCCCAAACTCGGCACTGGAATTCGAAAAATAGGTAAAGCTCCGTTATCTCTGTCCCCTTATATTGTTTCCCTTTGGAGTGTCGTTTATTTCCCTTTTCTGCAATATAATGATTTAATAACCAGGGGAACACAGGCAGTTTTTAACAGCAGTGCAAAGTCACCACAGTTACTGCTGCCAAGAGAGATCTTGCCAGCTTCACTAATGGGAACAAAGGGAGACGCACACTGCTCAGTAACTCCGTCTTCTCACCCCAGGACTGCGGCTGCTGTATTTAACCACAGGGAGGCCAGTAGATTGCCCTGCGTGTGAATGGGTAGCCAAGGTGGACAGGAACAAGGGACAGTAGAGCAAACCCATTTCTTTGACCTCAGCTCAGAGAGCTTGTCTTTCCACCAGGAACAATTACACAAACAAAAACGGGGGGAGCTCGCCTAGTGTCCTGTACCATACACAGCCACACAGCTACAGAAGGTCATACTGCAACCTTGCATCATGAAAAATGACTCTTCACTTTCCGATTTCAGGCCCGCCTTACAGAAGGTGACCGCACAGTCCCATGATCCCATGTTTGCAAAGTAAGGCAAATAATCCATGATCGATTTGTACTAATTGGACACCGCAGCACAGCTAAAACATGGCAGCATCACGATATAACATCATTCGCATTTCTGAGCTTTGTTCATGGCCTTTCTTCTTTCTGTTATCATGTCACATTGTTTTTAATTATTCACTAATTCTCACACTGACAGAATGCTGATTGGAAGGTCCTGGGACAAAACGTATAAAATACTTGTTTTACATATTAATTTTGTCCAGTTGCGGGGCCATTGGAAAATCTGTTCTTATTGTCCTAGGGTTTTGAGGACATATGGTAACTTGGAGAATGGAGAATGTGTCTGTTGATAAAGATTGCTCTGCCACTTCCTAAAATTCTCATAACCTGTCAGAGATACAGCATTAACTTCACAAATCTAATGATTCACCTGCCAAATTTCCAATCTTCGATTATTCATTCCAAGAGATTTGCCTGAGCTGTAATTTTTAACATGTTAAAGGACAAATTAGAAAAGAGGGCTTCCAAAATGAGAAGCTCATATAGCCAGTTACCGAAAACTCACCTCCGCCTCCCTGAATTCCATCTTATTAGTAGGAGAAAGACAAGAAACCCATGAAATGTAACCAGACTAAATATAATATTATTTTCCCTATTCAATTGCTTTCTTTTTTTCAGCCGAAAGACATAGCGCAACTAGACCCTCACTTTCTAGTGCAATGAACTCCCAGGAAGAAATATGAGGTCAGTTTTCCAAGGTAATTATTTCTGACATCCTGAGCATGTCTAAAAGTATTGTTTCAGTGAAAACATTTATTGATCTGCACAAGGCAGTTCACTTCTGGATATACTGTGTTTTCTAACATGGCAGGAGAGGGGAAAAAAAAGTTTCTAAAAAAATGTATTAACTGGTCCCTTTTCATGTCACACGTCACACCGAAAATACCAATGAGGTATAATTGTTTAAGACTGTCAGCGATGTCAGTTCTTCCGCTGGGTCATTTTGGGAGCTTGTGGTCAGTTCATTAGAGGAGCTTCCAAGCTGAACAAATAAGTTACAGTGATCCGATTTCGACCAGGGTACTGGGGCAGATTAAGTGCTGCCACACCCTTGATTGAAAGCAATGGGTTTGGAATGTAACATTTACAATGATTGTGATTAATCAACCCAGGAAAGCAGATACACTCTTGTGTTGAATACAGACAACCATCCTTGAGACCTACCTCCCACTATAAAAGCCAGCACAATCATTTTGTTAAGTCAGACTTGGGGGTTATATCTTAGGGAGAAAACAGGGGTGAATGTCTGTTATGTGCTGTTCTGCTATTTTCTGCAAAGCTTGTTTAATAAAGGTTCAAACAGCGTTCCTGTAATGGTTATTTCTAACATGACTGCATGGTGAAAACTGGCACTGGCATGGCGGTGGGGAGGGAATCATTCATTCTTGTGACAGCTCACTCCCTTGTCCCGTCTAATGGCACTGATACATACTGTACCTGCAATATCCCAGCTGGTGACCCCGCACTGGGCTGTGCATGTTAAAGGTGTCGGGTTTCTCTAGAGCTGGGCCACTCCTCCTCATACAGCACTGTGATCATCTCCAGGACGCTGCTGATAAAATCACTGGAAACAAGGTGGAAATGTGAGAATCCAGACAGATCTACTACTCAGCGGATGTGCAATTGTACCTCAGTACTCTGAAACATTATCATATCAATTATCAGTGTGTTTGCTATTCATGGCCATTACAGCTCAATCCCTTCCAGAGACAGCAAGATATTTCAATCTTTTCATCCTCATACCTAGACCACAGTTCAAATCTCCAAATGCAGACTATAAAACACTTTTAAAAGGTGCAAATTTAATTTAATCCGTGAAGCGACTTTTGTCTCTTGAAAAAAAAGGGGGAGAGGAGTGTGTAACGTGATCAACACCTTTTCCACATTAGAAAGAGGAAATTGCAGGATTCTCTGAAGGACTATTTGGAGATCAATGGTAATGTTCGTTCAGAACTGAACACATGCAGGAAAATTAAAATGTCATTTTTTTACTTAATGCAATTTTGTGCATTTGGTTTCATGCCTGCAAAGGGGAAACTTAATCAGTCGGCTGGATGAAATTGTCCTCGCCATTTAAAATCCTGTTATACCGATACTCAATCTCAGCTCCATAGCTGACAATCCCAAGAGTGTTAACAGTTATGAGAACCGAACAGGAAAAAAAATCCTGACAGCATAATAAAAGCACTCAGTCATGGCACAGAAGACTTACACCTGCAAATGTAAGCCTGTTGTCCATAGCTACCAGTCAGGATTTTGAGGGATGCAACCTTAAAGAATTCTTCTACTTGTTTAAATGCAGAAACGTTTGATAATGAAGCTGCAGAAATCCACAGCTCACCTACCTTAGCAATCGTTATTTCTTTACCTCCCCTTATCACCGAAAAGGTGAAGCATACTTGCCTTGGGCCCGACATTCTGCTCAACATCCATAACTACCCTTCATCCGTACCTGAAGGGCCTGTCTTAACCCACCCCTCACTTACATTTTACCTTAACCCACGATACTAGAAGGGTTACACTTCCCTGACTTGCTATTACTGAACAACACTTCCAGACCTCTTTTATGCCCGAGATCACTGAACCATGCATTTCACTCACTGTCGCAAGAAAGGGTAACTGTGGAGAGAGGGGGCACTGTGTTCTCACTGCAGGATCATGCTCCTGCATTGACAGGCTGTTCTGGCTGTTCATTTCGAAATCTGCAGGAGGTGGTACAGCAGGCGAGAAGGTACGGTGAGCGAATGGAAGCTTCAATCAGGCCTGGTACGGTTTCAGATTGTCTGGCAAGACGGAAACGAAAGCAAAGCAAAACAATTACAGGTCCGGTGGCCTCCGACACCTCTTGAGTCCGCGATGCCTGTTCTAGTCTCGGCGAAGTGAATGGCCAAACTCTAAAAACTCTGCAGAGGAACCCGAGAGAGCCATGATGAGCCCATTTCAATACTTTCAAAAGACATCAGAAAAGAACGGAACTCTGTGAAGCCGGCTGTGGTAGCACCCCTGGCAAAAAAAGCACAAGTTGAAACGAGGCAATTAAGTTGGAAAGAGAAAGCTTTCGTTCAGCAGGAATCGGCAGCTGGCTGGAGACGGACCCCCTGCCTGGCCTGCTGCTCTTATCAGTGTACCCCCCCCTGGTGCAGGCGCCCGGCTCCGCTGCACCCCGCTCTCATCACAGTCTCCTCTCGCCTCGGGCCTCTCGGCTGCTTTGATGGCGGCACGGCGCTAGGCGCTGCAGGTGTCGCGCAGCCCGCGTCACGATCGATCCGGTTTCCCCCGGCCCCCCCGGAAGCCCCCGTCCTTGCTCCTCGCCTGGGAGGCGCACACGACGGGCCCCCGCAGACCGAAGACGGGTAAGAAGACAGGCGGCAAGCACCCCGAAAAAGGCCCAACTACCAGAAAAAAAAAAGAACATTAGAGAGAAGATATCTTGGCTGTGCGCTAACTCCTTTCATTATTGCTAAACTATCCTTTTCTGGATTTCCATGTTTCATCTCCCCAGAAGCGACGTACAGCACTTAATGATTACAGTCAGTAGGTCAGTAGTTTAATAGGCTTTGCTAACACAGCGCAACACTACTTTCCCGAAGCCTCCTGGCACTTCGTCGTGAATTGCAGCACTAGGGAAAAAGTGTGGAAAGGCTTTGAGGAGAGGGCTGAGCGAGGGCCGAGGCTGCTGCCTTCCAGTTTAAGAGCAGCAAACGTCTTGCCCCCAACTTGGGAAATGTAAAGGCTCGAGAAGATTAAATAGTTTACTTCATCAGGCATGTGACACGGCTTTTGGAAAATAAACCGAAAGGGTTTGGCTTGGAAACCAGGCAGATCTGAAGCACAATAAGGGAAAAAAAATCGTTCCCCCCCCTGCCCACAACATTAGTTATTATGGGTGCACAGTGGAAAAAGAAATCTAGGTCATAGAGACTTTTTGAACGACTAGTTTTTATGCCACTATCATTTTGCAAAATGATCCCACTGTTATAAAGCAGTGTAATCAATTATCAATTTGGGTCACTGCTGCAAGTTGAAACTGTTGACGATTTTATGCAAAATGTGCATTTCTGAGCCATTCACCATCTTTTAAATGAGGAACTACAAGGGATACTTAGCTCATTGCACATCACTGAGTGGGGAATCCTGGTCAATTATTGCTAATCAGCAGTGCAGACACCAGCATATCTAAATACAAATGTAATGCCGATAGAGCCACTGAAAAGCAAACATGGGTCACAGTCTTTTAAAGCCAATGAAATGTATACTAAATGTTTCCACAATTAACCACTTAATTGCATCAAATTGTTCAAGATATGCTAGGTGCCCCTTTGCAGTTGTCCTGATAGTATTTCTACAATCCACTGAGTTTCTGGCATAAAACTGCTGGTCTTCGTGGATGATAAAAGGAAAAATGTTCTTGTCCAAGGGTTAGTTTACTTCTAGAGAAGAAAAGAGAAAAGCTATCAAACAGTAATTTAGAAGGACAATGTTTTTTAATGAAGACAATTAAAAATATATTTAACATTTAAATACATGTGATTGTCAAAGAACATAGCTGATTTTTATTTTTACACAAACACTGAAAAAATTAAAATAAACATATTTCAAGATATGTGAAATGAAGCATATATATGTACACACTTACAGTATATATACATATATATATAACAATTATACAGAATCTCACTAAGTGAGTTGTGACAAAACATTTGAGAACTTTCAGTATTTAAAAGGAAAAAGATTTGACTTTAAACATCATTTTGGTCTTGATTATGTTTTCTGATCACAAAAACACATCTAATTTTGCTAACCATCTGAATACAACAGTCCCCAACAATATCTGTGTATTATCTTATTGCTTTGCTCACAAAAGCCGACAAATGTCCTGGGTGCTGTGCAAGCACTGTTCTTCAACGCTAAAAGAAAAGCACACTGCAGTGTTGTGCAAACTGATCAAACTCCGATTTCAAGTCAGCTTCGCAGCCTGAAAGTCAAGACCTGAAATTAAATGACTGATACAAACAGAGAAACACAAAGACAAAAGCACACCTGGCTGAGATAATGAGGCAATATTGTTCTCCACATCCTGTACAGCCCTGAAGGAAAATCACCACGCGAAGCTTATATCAGCTTTCAGAGGAGATTAAAGTGCTGTGATCTGCAATTTGGGAATAAACAATAACACAATGTGAAACAGCCCACCAGTTTTAATGCTGATACATAAGCACCAATAAGCTTGTTATAAAAATAACTCCCTGGAAAAATGTATACTACTGACAGATTAAAGAAAAAAGGTTTATGTTATATTAATAAACATCCAACTTTTATTAAAGAGAATTACTTTCCCTCTACTGGCTTGGAGAAAAGAAGTCAACTAGTATCACATTGAAGTTAACGATATAACAGTGCAACAGGAGTCATTAGTGAAACACTGTCACCTTGTGGGCTAAGGAGCGAACTGAACAGCTTACAATTGTTAAGGATTTAGCATGGCTTGACTAGCACTGTAAGACTTTGTGCAGTACTTACTGATAGGGTGGAACATCTCTGTCTAAATCCACAAGACTGTAACCCAAAAAATAGAGCTATGCAGTTTCTTAAAACCCAAGCCAGAAAAGAAACGTGCTGACAAATTGAATGAAGAACTGTTAAGTAATGCAACTTTAAAAAATGCCCCGATTTGGAAAAAATACTTAATACATATAAGCTGAGGTGTGGGGGAAATAAGAATTAAACTTCTCTTGTAAGACTACATTGCCAAAACCGCAAGGCACATTAACCAGTACAAATTAGTGCTTAACACAAAGTGTTTCATCTGACTGGTACGTTTACAAACACATACTTTCTTTATCTTATTAAATACCTTACTAAAGAGCAAAAGATGTGATCTTTCAGTCATCAGTGGTCTCCAGACATTGAGATTCTTCATTCACTATATTGGCTACATGTTCTCAAGAAGACGTCCTGCTTTCTCCTGCCGTGGCAAGTTAAACCAAAGATATAAAGTTGCTCTGTTTCCACATTCCAGAAAACCCTTTAACAATAAAAAAACACGCTCCAGTCTAAAATTAAACTGCTTACAGTGGGCGGGCATAACCACACTCAGACTGAGGGGAAACAATTACAATCAGGTTCAAATAATATAATGTTCAAGTACTTTTAAAACTCAAGCTAATAACAGTCTCTCAATTATCATCTATTTAACTCACTTGCTCTGGGACTTCAACCACTTCAGAACTGTCCCCTTCAAAAGCTGATATCAAAAAGTCTGGCCAAGCAGAATGGATGATGAGCACTAGAGAAGCAGCTGGCAGGATTTGGCTTGGGTATATAAACTACTTGAACAGCATGTGCCAAAGTCACCCTGGCGGGGTTGAAACTACGGTCATCTGGCCCTGAACAGATCACACCCTGCACCGCAGCAGATAAGAAAATGGGATCCATTAAAATGAAATTGATACTCTAAAGCAGGAGAGACACCATCGTAGCAACAATTGCACTCGACACTGGAAACATTATACCCTAAGAAAGCAAGACGTTTTGGTGTATTGCTGAGAAAAAAAAGATTAACAGAAAACAAAATCCCTTTTTGAAGCTTGAAGACACTAAGGAAGCTGTGAAAATATCTCAGCCTCTTGCCTTCTTAGGCCCTTCTCAGCTTCAGGACACATTCATCTGCAAATTTAATATTTGCAGTTTTCACATGGGAAAAAAAAAACAACTTCAGGTACAATAACGCAGTTTAACTAAAGCCTGCTGATTACAGATGTCAGATTCATTAACTAAATCATTTTGTTCCATCGTGCAAAAGAAAACTGAACACCTGATAGAACAAACTGCAAGAAAGAAGTCCTTGACACACCACCCCCACAGCGATGAAAAAGAGCGCGCGAGAGAGGGAGAGGCTGTCTGAGGGTGTCTGAGGGTGCTGGAGAGGTGGGCGATCCCATGGCGCCTCCTCATGACTGGGGGGGCTGCTCGAACTTGAACACCACGCTGAAGATCTTGCCCCCCAGCCGCTCGGCCAGCCAGGAGTTCTTGATGACGGCCAGCTTGAGGCTCTCGCAGCGCAGGGTGGCGTAGTAGTTGGTGTGGATGGCGCGGCCCATTCCTTCAATGATCACCAGGTCCGTGTGCCGCTCTCTCACCACGGTGGACAGCCCCTTGTCCAGGCGGCTGTCGTGGGGAAAGACGGCGTCAGCGGGCAATACAGCACTGAGAAGGCAAGGCTGGGAGCACGTTCATCCCCTGCTCGGCGCTCCAGTACAGCTGAGTGGGTCACCGTCACTGCAGGGTGATTCTCTCAGGTCCTGTCCACCCCTCCCACCCCCAAATATCCCGACACAAAATACAAGTAAAAAGGGTGGACAGTTTGTCTATAGAAGTTGCGAGTCGAAAGCTACGTCAGCATGCATAGGTTGCAAAGGAACACGTAAAAGTGCCAAAAGGATACGTAAAACCTCAGGTGTGAAGGCTCTTCAGCCAAAAGGTTGTGTTTATTTTCTGTGAAGTGCAGCATGGAATGAACCTTTACCTGTTAGTTTGTACATATATAAGTATTAACAATGTAAAACATGTAAATATGGTTCATTCACTCATTTAGACTGATGCATTTCCCAACAGAACCTCCATTTCTACCCCGAAACATTCACACTCAGTTTGTTTCCAGTGTTAAATATTAAAACAGTAATGGCCAGTGGGATCCATACCATACCATTGCCTGTTTTAATGCCTCAGGTCCTAAACATCCTAGTAAAACAAAAAGCCAGTTCAAATAAATTACAATGGAGCTGGCCATAACAGTGTGACTGAAGAGCGCTGTGATCGATACTCAATTTATTGGCCCTAACGCCAGAACTAGGGCTTTTGTTTCCATCTCTGTTAAAAGCCTCTTGAATTTTGGAAGAGTTCTCCCCAAGTCTCATTCTCAACTAAGAATCTTAATTTAATTAGAACTTTTGAGCTGTGGATTGTACTAGGTGTCCCATAAATTAAAATAGGACTGCTGAGAACAACACCTTAACTGACAACCGTGAGTACAACTGTAACCCCAGCTTATCAGTGCATACCCACCTCAAGTCCAAGCACGGTGAACTGGAGCCACTCTGAACTAAAATTAATCTGTCATCCTTGATCCCAGACCTACAAAATAAACAGAGAAAAAGTATTCAGAGACTTCAGAGAGTTTGACCCCCAATACCTGTACAAGCACATTAAGACTAGACACTTCTCTTACTAGCAATATTTCTACTGAATTCGTCTGTACTACTGATTAAGACATCTGCATAATAGAAAGCAATGACATATTCAAAGTATGAACAGCAGTCTCCATCAAGTCAGGCCAGCTCTCACCAGCTGCCTGATGTGGAACACAAACAGAAAACTTACTGAATGACTGAGTCCATGGCTGCTATCCGTTCTGTCAGTATCTGTAATTCACTGTATGTCACATCATTTAGCGCTGGTCCAGAGTTGCTTGCCAGCACAACCTGCAAAGGTAAACCCAAGGCATGTTTGTGAGTGGAGAAAAGAGGATTCAGAACATTATTAGAGTGAAGTGGCTAATAATTCATATAACACTGTTTATCTCCAAGTATCCCAAAATAACTAGGCATATAGGTGGCAACTTATATCAGCAATGACCTTGTTACATTAAAAAAAAAACAGCAACCTACCTCTTATACACATTTTGAGGGAAATCACAGTCTTGATGTATGAGAACTGGCACATGGCCACAGGAATCACAAAAAAGAAAGTGGCTTACCTCTGTTCCCCTGCAGAGAAGTTCTCTGACAAATGGGAACACTCCCAGAATGATGTCTATTCCACTATTATCTACGAAAAATAAGGCACATTTGTGAGGAGGACCCTGCAAGAGAAAGCCAGTATGCATGGTATTCAATCACTGATTCCAGGGAGTCATCCTTACATAGTTATCACAACAGACATGAAACAGAATAACCGGCAAAAATAATACATTGGAGGCAATGACTAAAGAACATCTGGTACCAAAGATTCATAAATAATTCTCTCATAGTTCTCCTTGTTAAGAGGTGTAAAAAGAGACTGTGGAGAAGATTACCACATGGGAGATATTGTACAGCCAAAAATATAATTGATAACAGATTCACCCAAAAGCAGAAAGTCTGGGAACGGCACAGAACAAATTAGATCAAGTAGAGGGGATTTCAAAATAAAAGTACTGCGAGCAAGTTTGGAATGAGGTGTCAATTCTTCAAGATCCAGTAGAAACGTTTCTTTTTGTGCTTTACAAGACTTATTTATTGAGCTCCTAATTGATTTATAATTACTGCTTAAGCGGCCTACTATTTGGGTGGTTTTGGGACTGGAATTCCTGCACACGTACAGACTTGGCACTTCACAATACAATCCTCTAAAAACAGCCTTCACAGCCAACCATTGTCACCTTGGCTTTATTTTCAGTTTAAAAACTCTGCAGCTTACAAACTTATTTATACTTAAAAAACCGTTTAAATCTAGCTGCAGTATTAAACAGTTTTTTTAAACAAACATAAAACAGATACTTGAATGAAGAGCACACTTTTAATATACAGGGTGATGGAGATATTGAAGGTTTTTATGGTTGTAATGTGTGTTTTCAGTTTGAAAGTTGTTGTGTAGATGGTAACACTATAGAAAATGTTTTACTTACCTTTAACCTCTCAATCCATTCATTATATGAATCCACAAGCCAAGGGCGCTCTAGGGAGTGAAGGACACAGTCAATACCAGAAAGCCACTGACACAATCACTGTTTAAAGATTGCCAGTGCATTTAAGCAATCACCACGCTCAATGTGCAAATATTTTCATCTCTGTAATCTTTAAACCATTGATTCCCAAACTTGGCCATAGAGAACCACAAATCTGCTCAGTTTCTTTTCCATCCAAGTCCCAGTTACACATTTGAATTCTTAATTGACTTAATTAATAGGATTACTTTGAACTGTTTGATTGTTCTGCTCTGAAACATGTTGGAGGCCAGCTTTTAACTACTGTATCTGATAAGTAAAACAAAACACATAAGCTTTCACTAGGATAAAAACTTGCAAATATTCCAGTCAAGCAACGTGCTAGTTCAATTAAGGATCCGATTGTGGAATTTAGTTTGGGATTGGGATTGGGAAGCCCTGCTTTAGACTGAACTAAAAATCTTAGGTAAGATAAATCATCACAAAACAAAAGATTATACTGTCTCTTCAAAAGAGAAAGAAAAAGCTCTTGTTTCAGGGAAAGGACAGGTAAAAGTTATCTTCCATTATCTAGACCCCATTTATTTAATTTGTATTTGCTTCATTGACCTTGCTTACTTACTATACATCTGTGAAAGAACAGATCTTTCCAAAGGAACAAAACCCTCATACCTTGCAACTTTTGTTTTGCTTCTTCAAATCCAAACCCTGCATCAGATTCAAGGACACTAAAAAAAATCAGAATTTTAGAGCGTTATCATAGTAGCACATTACTTTCCCCTATCTTCTCTCAATCCTGTCAAATAGTAGCTTATACTGCAACAGCATGCCTGACATCACTGTATCACGAACTCCGGCCCAATATGTGTCCTATTTTTTTCTATATGCACCATTTTAGGCAAGCTGACAGCACTGTGAAAATTACACCTGTCAGAAATTTACAAGATACTGAAAAGACATGAGAGATTTAGGGAATCCGTTTTAACCTACTTGAAATTTTTTGTTTTTGCAAACAAAATCTAGAGAAATGGATCTTGCAATTGTTTTGAGTAATTCCTGGTATAAAACAAACTTAACACTAACAACAGCAATATGGCTTGAACTTTTCAAGGTGGGTAAAACCATTGTTGAGTCGACACAGTGCATCAGACCAGCTAGTGCACTCCAGATGGCTAATGGTTTATAAGTGACCACAGTATTTCAGCCCAATGTGAAGCCGGAGAACTGCTTACTCTGAGACTGCCTTGGCTCCCCAGTCAAACACATTCCCAGCCAGTAGTCCCTTAACCAGGGCAAACTGTCTCTCCTCCCAGCTCAGCACTTCCAGAGACTTCACAACCTTCTGGAAGTACTTCAGTGCTAAGTCATTCTCTCTTTGCTTGATCTGCAGAGGCATAACAAAAACAGTGTAATTAATATTTACCCCACGCAACTACCACTGGTTATTGAATGTAGCCATACATATATGCAGTAATTCTGCATATATTAACAGCTACATTAAAAAAATAACAGCAATAAATGCCACTAACAAGAAGTGAATGTCTCCTTAGTGCAGTGTTAAAAGCACAACTTCACACTGCAATAGTATTGGATCCAAAAAATCTACAGTTAAAAAAACAGCTTTCATAAAGAAAGAAGCTGATCGATGTTAAAGCAGTGCATTTTTAAAATTTTCTGTGTGCACTTTTGGGGGGAGACAAAAAAGGGCCTTAAAATAAGACGACAAACTAGTTCAAACCTTAGAATAGGGGTCGGGAAAGTTGAACTCATTTAGACAGTGTTCTCTTGTGTCTAACAAACTTCTGACAGTGAGGGACCCATAGGCACTAGGAATGAGGAGGAGAAGAAAAGCACAGATGAATTAGGGAGGAAAAGGGGAAAGCACAGAAATTCAGTTGCACGCCAGTGCCTTGGCTATCTAGATTAATTAACAACATGAGACCATTTTAATACCAAGACCAGGGAGGACTTTATTCTGATGACCAATACTATTATAGTATTACGATCAAGCACGCTGGGATCATTTTCAGGTTTTTTAGATTATGGAAGCATCAATAAAAACTACTGTGAACTACCATACCAGAACCTACTTCATGGAATATTAGGTATTTAGTTTATAAACTAGACAAACCATGTAGTACTCCACTAATTAAACACCTCAGTAATAGCATTCAATGTTCTATATCCTAATACCATAATACCTGAATTTACCATGGTATGTAAAATGGATGTTTGCATCCATTTCTGCTTTTCCTGCATCAGACAAGTTACTAGTTAAGAAAGACCCAGTATCTCTTATAAATATGCTACCCTCTAGAATCATTTAGCCATACAGATGATCCTTGTTACAGTAAGTTTCCAGAACCTAACATATAACCAAAGATTTCTAGATCTTGATATCGATGGGTGCTAATTTATAAGCCCTGCCTTGAAAGACTATTGGAAGTATTTTAGTAATTGTTCACCAAAAACCTTTTTCCCTTTCTTTTGTTAGGATTTTGGGATTCCCGGTCTTCCCTGGAGATCCAGCTCAAGTTTCTAATACTGTATCTGTAACATTTCTGCATCTTCTGTGCTAATGCAATTTAATGTTGAACTATATATTTTTTAAACCTGAGACATTGTCTATTGCTTTCTCAGGTGAACATGCAAGAGCGTTCAGTGATGAACATCAAACTTTTCCATGAAGAATTCCTTGGGAAGGAGGGAATGCACTCTTACAAAGGCTGGTGCCGGAGGGTCTGTAGCTTGTGTCGGTATTTCTGGCGGAACTTCTCTGCTCGCTCTTTGGCCTGTGGGAGGTCTGGCTGGCTGGCGATGGCTCTCTTCACCACCTGCAGAGACCAGAACTGTGAACTTGGCCGCAGCTCCACAGCCACACCTGACAACAGCAGCTGCTTTGAGCTTAAAACACAATGCCATCCTGCTGGGCAAATACAAACGTGTGGACATGAATATGATGCAACCTTAATTTATAAAAAGCAGGTGGTTTACACCCATGGTATTAAGCAGGGTACCCTGCCTATCACAGCCCTGGTCGGGTACCTCCTGGGGTCCCCAGCTACTGCCGACCAATTCAAATTTGAACGAGAGAATCAAAATAAAGAATGAGAATCTGGATTGCTAACTGGATGGACCACTCAAGGAGCAGGAGCTGCTCTTAATCAGGTTTGCCCAAGAATATTTCATTTATAAACACCTGGAAGAAAGGATAAATTGCGGTAATGTTAGGCTGAACTATATGAAAATGTGGAAATATGCTTTCGTTACAACCTTCAGCTGAGAATGATTGAGGCTCTAATAAGCGAATAATTCAGACCCCAAGGACCACAGCTGGGAACCCCTGCTCCCGCTGTCGACGCGGCCTTGTGCTCTCACCCCGCCCAGCGCCTCCTCGAAGCAGTAGAGCCAGTATTCACGAGCCACGGCGTCCTCGGTCAGGTCCATGGTGTCCGGGATGTACGAGGAGGCGTCCTGCAGCAGGGGCAGGTTCACCAGCTGGCGTTCCAGACGATCCATCTCCAGCATGTCGAACTGCAGGGGGCAGGAGCACAGTCACTAACCAGCTACAGCACCCTGAGTGCTTACACTAATGCAAAGTAGCTCTGCGTCTTAACAGCTTAATAGCAAGACCATTTTTGTTAAAACTGTAAACTAATAATATGAGGAGGAGACTATTTTGTCACATGTTTAATTACAAGTCATTTCTGGAAATATACCACTGAACCGGGTGCTACAACATAGCTTGGAAACCAACATGTAATTCACAAAATCAAGCAAACATATTCTATGGTTAATCATATATTTTAACTAACCATGAGCACTTCAAGCTCAAAATCTCACCATTTAAACAATGGATGCTTAGCACATATTCATAGTATCAGAAAATGCAGGGCTATAGACTAAGCAGCAAATGCAAAAACTCCAAACAACCAAAATGAATTAGCTAAATTATACTAATATTAATCTCAGTCTTGTATAGTATCGTATATTGGGGAAGAACTGGTACCAAGGACATCTGAGAATCCCAACCTGTTACAATTTGAGATCACAAAAACAAGTTGACTTGTTAGCAGGCAACTTTCCTTCACTTTCCATGCATTCTTTGTGGATTTTGTCCATTTGCATCTCTCGGGCAGCTGCTTATTTCGTGCTCACTCTGTCATTCAACGTTTAGCATTTTCACTACAGCTTTTCAGCATGTGGCACACAGACATTCTTATTTTTCATTGTAGGAGGTAAGCAAAGCATAAGTTTTTGTGCTGCCCATGCCAGTGTGAATTCCCCAACAGCAGCCAACAGTGGACATGATATAGACATTTCCATTAGATAAGGGGAAAAGCCCATTCTGTTCCTTTTACTCCTGGCATTACTTGTGAACATCTGTGACCTGTATGCTTCCTGCTCTCCCTACTGTATGTATTCAGGGCACACATCAACATTTGTTGTATTAATGCTTTTATTAATGTTAACTTGGACACAAAATCTGCAGAACGCAAGCAGTAACTGGAACCTAATATCATTTTGATGACTGACAGATAACTCACACTATGATATTATGGCTATGGTTGAATAGAGAAAAAAGGGAAATTTCACATTCAGACATGCAAGACCTACAGACAGAAAGATCAGTGCAAATCTCTCTCTCTTTTTTCATTTTTGAGCAATTATATGTGATGAAGTCAACTTAGCAGTCGGCCCAGTTTTATTATACTTTGCTCAGATGATAGTACCTAAAATGCAATGCATCTCAGCACAACCTAAAGATATTTTAAAAGTGTACTGTTATTTTCTTGACGACTCAGAATAAGAAAAATTGAAATGAAACGTATATGTACCACATTTTCATTAAAAATATTTTGCAGAGGGATCTTTACTACAGAGACGTCAGAGAGGACTGTATACTTTTAGTAAGATATCTCAATGCCACACAAGCAAGCAAGACAAAAAGGCACAGATATTTCCAGCTAAGGCTAACTAATCACTATTTTAATGCACAACTCACTAACAACAAGCTGTGTTCCCAGCATCTGAAGCTTACGCTTAAGCATGGTGATAAATCACCCATTGAAAAAAATGTGAATTATAACACACATTGAAAATGGTATTTACTTACGGGAAACTGAAGAAAAAATATAAATTAAACAGAGATCATGGAGACAATGACAAGTTGGGATGAAAAAAAAGTAAGAAATAAAATGTTAGAAACAAAACACAAAGGATAGATAATTCTGATCCTAATTTAACACCCCAGTGCATTGTTTTAATCCAGCTCCAAACATAGAGACTGGTTGTCTTAAGATGCTGCTCAATCGTTAAGAAACAGGGGGTAATAAACATAAAAATCTGTCATCTTTGAATAATTACCACAGCTTAGAGAGCAAACACCACTGTTTTGAAATGCCTAAGCCTGTGACTAGTTTAGATGTACAGCAGGTAATTAAAACCTTACCAGGAATAAGAAGCTCTCTGTAGAGACATTTTCTTTATTGTAGTTTTACGGCTGTATAGTTATGAGCTGTGCCACTTAAGGAAAATGCCTGCTATACCCATTATCAATGTATTCCCGCTTTAGGGGTTACATCAAACACCATGTCATTTCCAGGTTTGGAATTGGATTGAAAATAGCACAAAGTTCTGGCAGGTGTATTTCATTACATTCACTGCACATTAAAGGACATTCCTGAGGAAAGAATAGGTGCCATCATAACAGGTGGAATGTTCCATCAATATTTTGATATTCATCAAAAGCACTTTTAGCCATTAAAAATGCAAATTCCTCCACAAACACCCAGGAGTAATCCAGCCAATTTACTCTAACACTGTTCTACAGCAGGGTCATAAAAGGCGCTCGACTGCGCTCAGTGCAACGCTGAACTCACCGTTCCACTGCGGGCCCGCTGCATGGGGTTCAGATCAGGAGACACGCTCATCAGGCCAGAGCTCCCAGCGTAATTCTCCCCCCAGCTGTACTGGTTAGGATCTGTGTGGAACGGATCAGAACTTTCATTAGCCAGCATTAGAAAATGAAAACTCCCATTTCACAACAACACTTTAAAATAATACAGCACCTAAGATTATAGAAGCCAGACTGCTGGACAGGTTTGTCAGAATTGATGCCTTTGAATAATTTAAGAGAAAGCACTAAAACAATTATAAAAACAGACATTAGGACCAAAAGAAGTAATGGACAATAAATTGCATTAGCTGATACTCTCTTTCACAGCATTTGTAGGACACCACCAAATCCTGAGACATTAATCACATTACATTTAAAAGCATGCTCTTTCCACTACATACCAATAGATTTTGCCTCCCCCTCACAAGAAAAAATAATTGCAGTCTAGACATCTGCTTAAGAGAAATGAATGGTTGAAATAACACGGTTTATATTCTGTACAACCCTGAACTCCAAGAAGAGGTTAGAGAATGGATGTTGTGTATAATCCTGCACTATGTTCTGTCTCTGCACATTGGAAAACTCTATAAATCTTCTTGTCTTTTTTCCTCCATCTCAAAGGAAACACAGCAAACCACCCAGTAAAACTTGTACTTACTGTCCTCCTCTGCTCCCTTCAAGAAGGCTCCAATCGCCCCTAAGTAGCCTTCGTGTCTGAGAAAGAGAGCCTGGACTTCCCCCTGAGGATGATTTCAGCAAAGCATTAATACCAGTGCAAGAAAACTATAGAAACTTTGACTTAAGAACAAAAATTTCACAATATTTGAATGGCTAATTCAATCTATTTGCAGAAAAACAGTACTTGCACCCACATTAATTGTACAATAATAGGACATGAATATCATTACTTAACTCCAAATATCAAGACTTAAATTCCAAAGATTTCTTTCCATAAAAGGTTGGTAAAATTTCTCAATCCATACAGACATCTGGAGGCTCAACAAGAGCTCAGTTGAAGATGTTTTACCTTGGTGAAGAAGTTGATGCTGTAGGTGATGGTGTGCATTGTCACAGGGTGTCCTCGGATGAAGAACCCCCCGAAGTAAACTCGAGTGAGGTTGTGCAGCTTGGCGTAGAGACAGGCAAGCTGACCAATGTCATTGCTGATCATATGCAGGAGGCTCTTGGCCATGTCTTCTTTGGAGAACTCTAGTATATAATAGCACAGAGAAAGATACGCTTGCATAAAAACCATTTGTGTTAAGCAAACAACTGTGGTACAGTTAGAACAATCACCACTTCGAACAAGAAAACAGATCTGATTGACCAATAAAAAAAAATCAAATAGCATAAACACAAGTGGAACCGTATGAGTACAACCCTGTAAAATCACTGCAATTTTACCCACCAAGAAATCGGAAAGCAGCTCAAGAAATGAAAAACCGATGGACAAACTGTGTCAAAAGAAAGAGAACTGCAAAGGAACACACTGAGAGAGCTTCATCACACATCTTGACACTATTTATCACTAAGATGATCACTTTGCATTGAAATGATAAGAAATGGCTAGATAGCAATTCAGGGAATGCATAATCGTACTCATTCTTCTTCAGTCATGTCTAGTACTGTATGTATGCTGGAATGTGACTGTGCAAATGTGGTAGAAACAAACCGAAAATTCCAACACTGCAAGCCTTAGCCAACAAGGATGCATCGTCCACCTTTATCGGTTGTGGCTGATTTGCCGAAGCTGCTGGCAATCAGGTCTCCAGTCAGGCCGAGTGTCCCATAGGCCCCTCCGTAAATATCCTTCACCAGCATGTCAACACTGGTGTGCTGTCCTCTGGAGGCCAGCTGCAGCAACTCATCAAATCTCTGCAGCAGACAAAGAACAAACGTTGGCAGCTGCAGGACTAACCTTGTCATTCCTATGGTTCCTTCTAATAATAACGCCAATATGACCTGCTTGTGCATGCTTTTAGTTCTGCACGTTAACACATTCTCAAAGTGGAAAAGGAGGCTGGAGTGGTGAAGCAACAAGATGCGTACAAAAACGAACAACTGCTTGGAAGAGAATGCACCACAGCCATCTGGAGAGCCCACAGCTTCATGAACAACACCAGGCTTATGTGTCCTTCTGCACGTTACATAGAAATAATGCCAAAGTTCAACCCCATTTAAGATTTTAACTCAAACCATTCCTCACTAACCCAGCCATGAGTTATATCTGCGGTAGTACAGCCTTACTTAAGTTTATATGCCATCAACTATTATCAGGGTGAAGTTGAAGGTAAAACAGCAAAATGCTGTAATTTTTTTTCACTGACAAAAAAGATCTCCTGAACAGGTATGGTCCTGACACCTGAGGAAGCTGAGCACCGTGTAGAAATCTGAATTGGGCTGCTATAACGACTGCACTGCAAAGGAATAAGATGACCTCTTACCTTGGTTTTAGTTAGTAAAGCTCCCAGACCCCAGAATGTGCCACCTCCAATTGAACTTCCTCCAATGCGTTCAAATTTGTCTTCCGATTCAACCTGCGTTAAAAAATATTTTAATTAATGAAGTTTTTTTTTTTTTTTTAGCTGTTCTCCCCTTCTCCGGGTAACTGGGCACCCAACCAGACCTGAAGGCCATTGCGATCCCGAAACATAGCACCTAACAAGAAACTATTAATGCAATTAGATTTCTGCCATATTAAAGGGAGTACTTGAGAACCACTGCTGAACTGCTCTGCAGGTGGCTTGTCGTCGGTGCCAATTAAATCAACGGGCTGTGCTTTTTAAATGCTGACTGGATCGCTATGAGAGAGTGCGCTGACCTTGACGATGGACACGCCGGAGCCGATGTTGATGAGCAGGTAAGGGAAGATGTCGGGTTGCGTGGTTTGAAACCGAAACTCGGAGTCGGCATGCTTCACGTACACAAAAGCCTCGTGGGGGATATTCTTCAGCACAAAGTTACAGCCCTTGATGAGACAGGACATCTCGTCCTCTTTGTCCACCCTGCCACGAGACGACAGCAGCTGCATCAGTACAGGAGAGGCCGGCTCTCGTCTTCCTGCACTTATGTTTTCAAAGCTGCTAGAGGAAAACCTGGGTGCTGTCAGAGGATGCCTACCTGCACCGTGGCATAGGAAAAATAATTATCTTAATTGTTATATTATTAGTCATTGTTACTTATTATTAATATGAATTAGTAATAACAAAAAAGGAAACCACAAAAGAAATTGGGATCAACTGCAAACACAGGTCTCTGGCAATGTTGTGACAGCAGGAAATCAGTGAAAAAAGTATTGCAACTACATATTACCGACCAGATCTCTGACAAGCAAGTTTAAGATGGAATTGTTCTAAAAAAAGAAGCAACAGGATATTTTTTAAATCTAAAATAGGTTCAATCACAGGCACATATAATCACCAAATTCAACAGATATAAGTGGATCCAACTAGGTACTGGAGTGTAAACTCCAGTATCCTAATAATCCCCATCTATGGATTGCCTTCTCCTCCCCATTGATAGCTGGTGTGTGGGGAGCGTACTGGTGCATTTTGACTGCCGTTACATCATCCAGGTGGGTGCTGCACATTGGTGGTAGTGGAGGAGAGTTCTCATTATCTGTAAAGTGCGTTGAGTGGAGTGTCCAGAAAAGCACTACATCTGTGTAAGGAAGTACTAGCACAAAATGGCTTTCTCTCTGTGTGAAGTTTCCATCCCTTGGGATTTCATTACCATGCCCAGTCTTAAATCTTTTTTATTTAAACACGAACAACTTGGGAAATCAAACATTACTGCAGATCAGATGACATTCAATAAAACTGAAAAGCTACAAGGGAATACTACACTGATTCTATAGTGTAACATCACTAAAAAAAGGAAGTTGTACATTTTAGAAAAAGAATGAGAATTCCGGTACAAAGATGCAACTGCACCTCCACCTCTTCTTCAAGTGACACTGAGACTCTGGGCTTTTAGCACTCACTTCAGTTTCAGTTTCTTTTCAATCAGGTCCTTGAACTTGTAAGCACCCCCGCCAGTGGCTTTGATGACTTTGGTTTCGGTGTTGACCAGGTGGTCTTTGATGAAGTCCAGGCAGGTCTCTATGTAGGCGTTCTCAAACTTGATGAAGTGTAGGCGAGCTGTGATCTCCTCCTGCACCGAGATCTCGTAGAGAGGATCATCTTCTGTTTCCTGAGATAGAAGGGAAACACGAGGTGATTAATGCAGCACATTCTTATACAGTGGTCACAATGGTTCTTATAATGGTTGCGATGGCTCTTTTGCACAACATCCGCATGCCAAAGGGTTAAGCCTGAAACTGAAGGCAAAGCGCAGGATGGGTAAGGAAACTGAATTCCAGATTGGAAAGCTGTGAGATCAGATCCCTGTTGGACATTTGTCATTTTATTTCTCATGGAGATCATTCTCTCATGTGCCTCTAGTCTACCAGTCTATGAATGAGTATGAATGTTGCAAGGGGTAGGAGGCAGTATGGCAGTATAATTTTGATAATTAAAAACAGTGAAATAGTTTCCTTTTTTGCTGGTTTGAAAAGGCTGAGATGGACAACATTGAATGCTATGTGAATACACAATTTCACTTTTGGTCTGCCAAAGGATTTTAAAAAACGGTTCTCTGTGTGGCTGAACCCAAGGCAAGGAACCCTTGCATTATTAGCCTAGCAAAAAAAAAATAATCCCCTAAGGATCAGGATCTCAATAACATCAAAGTGAGCAGCATTTGTCTTGCTAATCCTCCCATTGTGACAAACAAGAATACTCGTAGTCCTGTCGTAAAAGTAAGCAGCATCAAAACCTCTTTTAAGAACTGCCTTCTTTTGGCTTTTTTGTTAAAATAAATCTGGAAGGTGAATATGCAACAGCAGTTGTACAAAACTCCTAAATAGCTATGTAATGTGTTTGGTCTTTTAGTCAATTACCAACAAGTGAGGTTTTGCCAAAAGAAGCATGAATATAGTTGTGCAATGCTATTTTATATTTTATGCACGATGCTTTTACAGTCAGCAAACTCTGAAGTGGTTATTAAAAGCTTTTCTATGAACTGTTCTGGCTGCATTAGGACCAGCAGTAGGTGCCCTGTAACAAGAATAAGGAAAATGCACTACTCAATATAGACTTCAATTTTAGAAACTTGCCCTTCAAAATACAACGCAGCAACTTGAATAAACAGCAATTCACTCCTTAACAGACAAAGCAAATGATCATAAAGACCCTGTCTGCAATACAAAACGCCTTACCTTCACAGAGTGGTCAAACGACCGGACCTTGGCAACTTTATGCTGAACTGTAGAATAATAGGCCAGTTTTGTCAAAGACCCCCCTGATTAAAAACACAAAACAGAAATCTGTTAGATCTAACGACCTGCAAGCAGTACAACCCCCCCGATGCAAACATGCCGATACATATATTTTGGATCTTAATTGTGTTCAACAATTCTTTTGGGTTATTAATAACCATTACGACTGTGGCTTCTTGCATTAATACATTATTTTACGTAAATCTCTGAACACGGAAGACATTTATTTGACCAGTGAGAGGAAACGTATTTTCAACCTAAACCTAAACACACAGACAAAACCAGACTACAGCTGCTTAAGAAACTAAAAACACAACTTTTAAACGTCTGGTGAAGGTATATCTTTATCACAATTGAGATTGCTGAAGTAATCTGACAATATCTCAGGGTAAGAATTCCATAAATAACCCGCCTAATCGCTACAGGTTGTCTCCGGAGGTACAGTGTAAATATCTCTTCGTTGAATTACGTACTAATCCCTCTTCCTGTTTTCAATGGACGCTGTACGGTACTATATTACTAGTATAAGATACATAATACTAGTTTGACACTGAGAGATCTCACATATCTCTGTCGTTTTCATTATAATATTTAATCAACTGTGGTATTCATTATACCATAGCAACGGTATTTACTGCATTTAGGATACACCTGTGATTACAAGTCGTGCAGGCAGAAGTATTTTGATCTCGATGAAACATGAAAACTGCAGAGACCCACCACATACCACATACAGTATCATGTTGGTACTGCTAATAATAAAGTTATACATTTTCGATTGATTATCGAAGACGACTTAATTCTTTTGAAGATTTATTATAACTGTTAACAGTTACGGAGAAAAAAATAATACTGGCACAAAAATGTTTTCGTACTGAAAATCCAGATTCCCAGCGCCTGAAGCAGCGGTCACTGGGGGCTGTAGTCCCCCACTTCAATAACAACCGCACAAGTCAGTACAAAACAGCTACTAAATGACTACAGCCCCCACACAAGCCGTCTCCCTCCACCCGCGCCCCAAAATCGGGGGTTCGTAGTCCACTTCGCACAATTTTGACATTCGCGTCAACTGTCATTTTTACCCCAGAAAACTACATTTCGGAGTGTCGACAGGACATGACTCGAAACCCTCTTTTCCCGAATGGCCCACAGCGGCAGCGGCTCTACAAGTGGGACATTGTATTAAGCCCCCACCAAAAAAAGAAGAAAATTACTCATTTCCGTATTCTGGTACCTATGTCGATAGCGAACCTCTTGGCATTCTCCAGGTTCCGAAAAATCTCATCTGGCGGGAGAGTAATGCTCTTGTCCATGCTGTGACTGCTCCTCTCTAGCCGACTACATGCCGCCATCTTGGATATTTGGTTACGCCACGGCCGAAATGCTTCACGCAGTGACGTTCAATGCACAAAGTTTGGCCGGCTCGCCCGACACGATATTGTAAACAGTCGTGTTACATCTCCCAAGGCGGTGAGAGGCGATATAAAAAATAATAATCATGCGTTTAGCCGGAAAAAAAATCGTAGTCGTTCAAAAATAGACAGTATTCACAATTACAATGTCCTCGTCTCATCATTATTGTTCTTTATGTTTGCTAATGTCTAAATCGTGTAAGCTCATTTTCAGCTGACTTATAACTGTCGTGAGCAAAAAAAACTGCAATGCAAAAGAGAATCTATAACACATTATTAGGCTGTATTATAAAAGCAGAAAAAAACAACCACGATACCTGCATTTTTTTCTAATATGGTCATAGGCTGACACCTTGTGTACTGCAATTCGAACTACAACTATATTTCTTGAAAGACTTCTGGTAGTATGAACAAGGTACCACTACCGAGAAGTTAAAAGAAACTAATTTCTGGAATTGGTGTACTTGATTCATGCGAACATCTAACAGACCAAATCAAGCAACTTAACAACATACAATTTGACATCTCATTCAGATTTTATTATCCAGTTTCTGTATTGTGGCCGACTTACATAGTATGGTCGAATAAACGTCATTTTCAGATTTTTAGCAGTAAAAGAATTAGATTTACTATCATCTGGATAGCTGTAAGGGTTGTGGAGAAGTGCAGTAAAGTGAAAAATACTTTCAGAACACTTTAAGAATAAAAAGTTCAAAAAAGTTCCTCCAACATTGAATGTAATTATTGCTTAAATTTAAAATTAAAACTTTGCTAACTTGATATTGTTCTTCATTTTGTGGGCTAGAATATAACCACTTTGTTATAACGTTTTAGAACATCTTGACTTCTTGTAGTTACCTAGAGGAGAAATTTATTTCACTTAATGGATTATAATATACCAACCTCATTTCCACTGGCACAATTAAGATACACGCATCAGTAACTGAATGAGTGGTATTATTCATATGAACTGAGTGAAAATTAGGGTTAGAAAAAGCAACCAGCACTTTACCTTATCAGATCTCAAGACTGCAATTGAATTATCTAAATTGTTAGCATTATCTGTAACATGTTCACCCTGGAAGTTATGTTTTTCTTTCTAACTTGAATTTATCACATCAATATTAATACGCAGTGACTAGCATTGCAGTCCTTCAGAACTGGGGCCCTGGGTTCAATTCCTGGGCTGCTCTCTGTGTGGAGTTTGTATGTTCTCCCTGCATTCATATGGGTTTTCAGTAGGTGCTCTGTTTTCCTCCCACAGTCCAAAGATTGTATGTTACTGGTGCTGACAGCTTAACTGGCTTCTGGGAAAATTAGGCTCTGACTTGAGTGTGTGTTGCTTGTCTGTGTCAGTGTGGTGTGTGTCCTGCCTTGTGCCCAGTGCTTTCCAATGTTGGCTCAGTAGTATGGGACTCCATTGAGAAACACACTAGCAGAAAATAGGCTGGAATACAAGTCTGGTAATACAATCCATGAAAAGCATGGCACTAGGCCAGAACAGGACTGTCTGTATAGGGCATCAATTTGACCATGGAGTCACATCTGTAATACAGCAGTAGCAGAGTGCAAGAATTGTGTAAAAATCTAGTGACTTGAACACAAGATACATGCAAAGATAATAGCAGTTAATAAAGCATTTAGAAGGATCCCAGTATTGACATTCACGCATTAGCTGTAACAGTAGTGTAAGTAACAACAATAACTATCTCCTTTATCATTGTCACACTATGACCAGGAGCACAAAGCCTGCAGGGGGCAGGACTGTGACTGACTGTCAGCTTTGTAGAGGCACGTCATGCCTGGAAAAAAAATACTCTTACAGATAGTTTCTAACAGAAACATTGCTAGATAGCATTGTGTGGCATAATTTTTGCCAAATTCAATGGAGGTTCAAGTTTGACATCACAAATGTATGGATTGAATGCTCCTGTGAGCAGACCAATATACATTTTATAAATATTTTGCTTGCCCGTGTCTGGGTACGCCTTTGTGTGTGTCCTCCAGCGTAGGACTCTAATTACTGTGTGAGCTTGTCTCGTCTCGCAGGGTGCAGTTGGGCAGTATTATGCTCTCACATCTGGCTGGAAGAATAGACACTGTACAGCTGCACTACCCATCATCCCCCACACACAGTTCATTATTCCCCTCCATGTGAGACTGTGCTTGTAGCAGTTTCCCACACACTCCTGCATTCACTGCCTTGAAAGGCAGGGACAAAAGGAGCGTGCCTAGTTACATATCACATTAGTAATGCTGCTTGCTTCTCCATTGTTCTACATGAATAACCCTCAAACACCATCTGCATGACAGCTCTGGGAAGGAGAAAACAAGAAGTAAAGGGATACTTTGAGTTTTGCAGGAACTGGTGTCAAAAGAAAATGCCCCAGTTAAGAAAAACTGAAGAATAAAAACCATCTTTTTCTATTTAGCAGGTTCCAGTAGTGAAATCTAAACTAATCTAAACCTTTCTTTAAAAGAATGGACATTTTATGACCTCTTTAAGTTCTACACTTCCCAAACTCTTTGGCCTTTTATGTTTGAAAATTCCTACAGTACAATGCTAGATTTTTGTCTGTGACCCAGCAGTCTCCAATCACCTCAGTACTGGTTCTGATTTGCTTCTCTATTAGTGACAGAAACCCAATAATCCCTAATACTGATACATAACATACAGTAGTTGTTTTTGAATGCCAAGTTCATTTTCGTGGTTAATAAAATTGAGATATCTAGCTGTTAATGTGACAAAAGCAGTGTGATTACTGAAGGTGAAATAAAAAGTGTGAACAAATAAGACTGCATAACTTTGTTAGGAAACAAAGAAAAGAAGTGTCAGTAAATCAGACCTGTTTTCCCACCATTCTGAGATAAACATGATAACATGACATTTCTGTACGACAATAAATGATACAATGGACTAAAATTAAGTTACATGTCCTTTTATTTTGTGATTTGTAGTTTTTGGCAAATATTACCATGTTAGAAAATGAAAACACTATTGATTGCATAGATTTTCTTCCATATTTATTGGAATTTAGAAAGCAGATCATAATGATGGCACACAGAGCTTTGAAACAGCACTGACAATAATTCAGTGAAATAACAAGTGCAGCTTTCTGAAAGCAGTTACAGAAAATACAATGCCTTAATAAAGGCTACCTAGCAGGCAGACACTCTGCCATTGACTTTGGTTTCCAAAACCAAAACAAAAGCTCGAACAGAATTTCAAGCAAAACAAAAGACATCTCTTGCTTTAGCTCAGCAAATATGTTTTTTTAAAAAACAGAATCATTCTTCATCTAGTATCTGAAGGTCAATGTGTAACTGACACAGTTCTAGTGCAACAACATGTCAAAGAAGGACAGGTTTTCACAGAAGAAGACATATCTGAAACATTCTTTTACACAACATTCAAGGTGAATATTTCCTAACAGAGCAAGCACTGCCTGCACATTCCTTGTGTGACAAACTATAATCCGACTGTGTAGCCTTAAACAGGCAGTTTGCACTATATGAAATGCTTTAATCCTAAAGGATTAAGAGGCAATTCCTTAAAGGCATTTGTATCGCATACATTGTATGTCTAAATACAGTACTGCATTTCTCTAGTGAAATACATATGCTGTGAAAACTCACAGCAAAGTTTATACACACTATAGTGTGAAATTTAAATTGAAAAAGTACTCCTGGTCTCCAGGAAAAAAAAAAATTGAAGACATTTTTGTGCAATTGGCACAAGAGCCAGCAATTTGCGTAAATCTGAAATGGATCAAACTGCTGTGGAATGGGAGTCATCTGCCTCCCTAAAAGCAGTTCACTGACAGCAGCACTGCGAAAAAGTACACAAAGTACTTCATATTACACTGGTTACTTCAAAAGAAAGCAACAAAAAACTTTTTTCAAAGCATAACTCTCTTGTGCAACAAGATAGATGGTTAATCTCTAGTACTATATTATACAGACTATAATGCACTTTGCATCTTCTAGTAGCATTTAATACCTTCTGCACAAGCAGAAGAAGAAGAAGAAGAAATATTCTTCATACACTGCGAGAATTACTGTCCGT